TTTTAAAAACAAACAGATTAGGGACAATTTCACTGAGACGAAAGTCAGTCTATGATCAGGTCTACCATCAGAATAAAGAAACAGAATGGATTTTGAAGACAAAATAGAGTGTAGATTGTTATAAAGTTCACCGGCATGTCTTAATAGAGTAGAATGTTGAAAAACAGCATCTTTTAGCCCAACATAGACTGATCCTATGGTAGAGTGTGCAACAAAAAAAATGAAAATGCAAGAAACCTTATTTTCACTAATGAAAACTTTTCCACCACCAAGTGTTTTGTGAAAATAAAGTTAAAACCAAACTCTTTACTTTTCCTTCTGAGTTATTTGGAAATTTTTGCCTTCTTCTTGTGGTAGCCATTAAAGGGTTAAATTTAAAACGCCGCCTCAGCACAGCAGCTGGTTGAAGGCATGGCAGTACATTAGCTGTGGAAGCACTCTTCCCAAAGGTTAGTGACTCGCACACTTTTATGCAAGAAAGTTTGTTTTTGGATAATTTCTCAGAGGATTTGGTCACTTGGTGACCAAACCATGTGCTTTAAATGCGCACCTCCTTTCCCTAATTAGCAGTCAAAATCTTTCCTCACCCTGACATTTTGAACATCATTGACCATAGCATGCATGATAAATATTGCAAGCTAATTCAGCGTTGTTTACTAGCTTGGCAGCATGATGATTGTGGCAAGGTGGCCATTTTTAATGGGCGGTACTTTATATTTTGCTTAAACAGCCTGTATTGAACATTATTATTTTATTTTTACACTAGGTCATGGCTACAGCAACCCTACCATGTAATTTAATAGCTTTCTATACATGTATATGTTATGGATTTTCTTTTATAGGAGCTCCAACTTTTGGAGATTTGATAGACATGCTGGAGGAGGCAGAGGATTGTTTGTCAGTCAATAATTCGACTGTTTTAGAGGTTTTATATACTTTGTTCCAGACGCGCTATCCCACTGTTGTAGTTCGACCGCAGAGCTTGTAAAATGCAGCTAAGCGAATTGCTGCACAAACAAATTCTTCATTAAGGGGAACCAGTAAACTTAGTGGTACAGCGCTTTCATTATATAGAAGAAAGGAGTGGTTACCTCGAATTAGAACAACTCAATGTATGTTAAATGTTTATAATATTGCATGAAAGTAACTTCATCAATTTTACATAATTTTTTATCTATAGGTACTATTGTTGCTTTTCCTAGTGGGCTTGTGTCATATGGTTTAAGTGAAGATTTGTTAGGTACAGTCTTTGATCAATTTGAAAATCACGAGCCACTTTCTTGGAGTCTCAGAGGGATTCCAGATCACAGTTTTTATCAAGACTTACACCCTTTCCTGAAGAAATGGCCCCGTACTCCAAGTTCAACCAAGTCCTCAATAGGAAAGTTTTACTCTACAATCGATATGAACTTAAACACCAAATCATATCGACCAGATAATGCATATCGATTCATTGAGAGGCTGGTCTTATCTCAGTGTCCATGTAACTCGATTGTGAAGTATGGATTGGAATCCAATGCTTCGTTGCAGTCTCAGGTGAAAGAGCGCATGGAGTTTAATCAAAAATTAATTTCAGATTTAGAAGAAATGAAGAAGCAACGTGACGAAGCGAAAAGAGAGTTAAACAACACACAGCTGACAGTAAGAGAAGCTTTGGATGAATTAAAAATAACAACTACTTTAATTCTTGCCACACAGAAACAAATATCATCTGTTGAGCAGTGGCTTGAATCCTGTTTCAGATTATAATAAGACGTTCATGGAACAAAGTGTAGCTTTTTCTGCAGTACTTTCTTCTTTACAAAATATAAATTAAATAAAGGAAAATATGAATTATGAACCGTAAAGTTAGAATTTTGTTATTAATGATTAATTTTGTTTTAAGTTGTTTGAGGCTAAAAGCCAGATTTAAGAAGTGGTAAAAAAATTATCATTATGAAAAAAGTTTATAAGTTAATTATTTTTCACATGTAAGACAGTGGGAGTAAAAAAAAAGAAAAAGGTTAAACCAGCGTAACAGGGTAAAAAATATTCCTAAAATTGATTTCACCACCTTGCAAGTACAACTTGGTCACTATTAAGAGTTATAGAGGTTCTTTCTACCTTCTAATGCTTCTAGAGAAGTCTTTAGACAGTATCTCTATGCTCTCTTGCTGTTAGAAAGCTCTTAACTTTGTCCCTTGTGTAAGCCGCCATTTTGTTTGCCGTGACCACACCCACTCACGTAAAGGAGCGTGGGCGGGTGTTGCTAAGACTTGTTATTTCTCCAATACAACATGTATAGAGGAAATGTAAGTGTGGACATACAAATATATATATATATACAAACATCGCACGTGGGTGAATTCAATTATAGGAACGACCTGGGGGCTACACCCCCAGGTCGTTAAAAATTATACATGATGTGAGATTAAGTCACAAACTTCAAAGAAGGAAGGTGGAAAGACATACAAATGAAAATATTGTACAGAATCATGAATGCATGTCTGAGAAATTTAAGAAGTCAACAAATATACATCATTACATTATCACATTCGAAGTATCACTAAATCACCAATAGCAGCATCTTCTGTTAGATCAAAATAGCAATGCTCCTCCTCTTCTTCATAGACAATCTTAAACAATTTTGTGTCAAAATCATAGCTTATTATAGTCCCAACATACCACTTTTCCTTTGAATCTTCTATCTCAAATTTATGACTGATGTGTTTACCAAGTAAAGAAGCAGGGTTAGTACGGACAAGTGAAACTATTGCAGTCGTCATCAACTGTATAAAGTCAGATAACTCTTTTACTATCTCTTCCACTGGACGCTGTTGTCTTGCATGGGAGAAAACGATGTGTAAGTTTTGATCCAATACTTGTTTCTGATACTTATCTGCTCTCGTAGTAGAGCACACTTCTTGGCCTTCTTCTTGTGTAAACAATCTTCTTTGTCTATAAATTCAATAAATTGATACAACTCCTGTGATGTAGTTATCAGGTGTAAATTTGATAGCTTATCCTTTTCATCTTGAGCTTTTCTTAGGAGTGCAACTTTTCTGTTGTGATCTTTTCTAATTTGTTCTCTTCTTCTCTCACTGCATTCTTCCTTTTCTTTCTTACGTTCCTTTGCAACTGTTACTCTATGCTCCATAGCCAAATCTAATACTTTATCCTGTTCTTGCTCTGGTAAAGCATCCAACCATTTGATGGTGTTATTTTTCTTAACTTCAATAAGGTTTGATCGTGATTTTTGACAGAGATTTGGAACTGCTGTACTGAGGTAATCATTATGACCCAAAATCGACTCACATATATCATTACTGGGTTCTAATTGTCTCAAAATCTCCTGAATTTCTGGCTCAGGATTCCAATATATTCCACCAGGTAATTGGGCCTCTGCATATGTGTTTAACTTCTTCTCCATTGCACAAGCACCAGCAGCTATCATTGAATATAGAAGAGTGGTATCACATGTATCATCTGAAAAGAGGCACTTGTAAATCATAATTGATTTAAATCGAATACGGTGATTGAACGTTTCATCATTTCCATATAGTAAACTCTCAGAACTAAACACACGATAATCTTTATCCATAATTAATTGAGGATGTTCTTGTAACAACTTTAGAAATTTCTGAAGCTTAAAATAATGAATATTCATATCAAGTACAGATTTCTTTAAGTGTTGTGACTTAGCCAACAGAACAAGATCAGCATAAATGTGTTAAAACATATGACCATCCAATTTTAAATGTATCAGTTCTGCTGGGCTATTTAACTTTTCAAATATATCTTCCAATTTATTCCCTTTGACATGATGAAATGTATATCGTAAAAAGGACAAAGCAGCATCATTTAAGAATAAAACTTTTGAGGCATTTGCAGGAGTAACAAAGTACCTGCTGCCTATTTGACTATCAAGGGTTACGGACATGCAAGCATTGTAGTAATCAGATTCTTTTGACGTAAGAGAAGTGTCATTGGCCATGATATGTAAAAAATCTGGAAATAACAAAGTACCACATCCATATTCAGGAGCACCACTTCTTCCAAAGAGCTTGTGAAATTCATGCACAATAATATCTACTTGGTAATATTCTCTTGCTTGATGTTTGTCAGCAGTCTTGTCACAAGTGCTTTTCACACCAACAAGAAATGCTTTGCGAAGGTTAGAGCCCAGATGCATGGCACAAAAGTTCTCAATAAATTCAGAAGCTATCTCAGGTGCATTAGTTCCAAATTCTTCTTTATCGGCTTCTTTTTTTCGTTCATTAAGCTTATTGAACCTCTTCTGTGTTGCAGCTGAATCTGCAGTGGAGGATGAAATCATGGTCCAGTTAATACTAAAAGGATTTGGTAGACCAAGAGCAGAAGCAGTCTCTCTCAGCTTCTGCAGCTGTCTTGACACATCACTGATACTGTCGGCAGTTCCATCAGATTGCTGGCTAAGAGAAATGACAACTTTGTTTAATGCGATTCCGCCCAACTTTTTCTGCCCTAACGTAGTGCCATCTGTGTTTAAGTGAAGCAGAGAACCATCTTCAATTTGATTTTGAACAGTAGTTGCTTTGTGAGCAAGACTTAAAGTGCTTAGTTCATCAGTCCTCATATATCCTGCACAACGTGCCTTTGGCAGTTGCAATAATTCAACATCTAGTTCAGGAAAGAATCACTTTAAAACAGTTTTTATTGTGTTGAATATTTTAATACGAGGAATTTCATCAGAAAGTAATAAATAATAAAGTTTTCTTATGGCTGGTGAGTACTGTTTACCATTGCACTTTGTTTGAAATGCAAAGCTCATTGATTCTTCATCAATAATTATAGCAGTGGCATCAGTCATAATCGATAACTCCTTAACTGAAGAAAAAATTTCAAATATCTGAAGATTTTCTTCTAATTCATCTAATCTTTCAGCAAGTTATAATCAGCTAATCTACTTCTATTTGAACTTTGTAGAGATGAAACTTTCTTCTCTGCTGCTATCTTACACTTTGCTGTAACCTTTAATTCATCCAAAGCTTCTCTTAATGTCAGCTGTGTGATGTTTAACTCTCTTTTCGCTTCGTCACATTGCTTCTTCATTTCTTCTAAATCTGAAATTACTTTTTGATTAAACTCCATGCACTCTTTCACCTGAGACTGCAACGAAGCATTGGGTTCCAATCCATACTTCACAATCGAATTACGTAGAAACTGAGATAAGACCAGCCTCTCAATGAATTGATATGCAGTATCTGGTCGATACGATTTGGTGTTTAAGTTAATATCGATTGTAGAATAAAACTTTCCTATTGAGGACTTGGTTGAACTTTGAGTACCGGGCCATTTCTTCAGGAAAGGGTGTAAGTTTTGATAAAAACCATGGACTGGAATCCCTCTGAGACTCAAAGAAAGTGGCTCGTGATTTTCAAATTGATCAAAGACTGTACCTAACAAATCTTCACTTAAACCATATGACACAAGCCCACTAGGAAAAGCAACATTAGTACCTATAGATAAAAAATTATGTAAAATTGATGAAGTTACTTTTATGCAATATCATAAACATTTAACATACATTGAGTTGTTCTAATTCGAGGTAACCACTCCTTTCTTCTATATAATGAAAGCGCTGTACCACTAAGTTTACTGGTTCCCCTTAACGAAGAATTTGCTGGTGCAGCAATACGCTTAGCTGCATTATACAAGCTCTGCGGTCGGACTACAACAGTGGGATAGCACATCTGGAACAAAGTATATAAAACCTCTGAAAGAGTCGAATTATTGACCGACGAACAATCCTCTGCCTCCTCCAGCATGTCTATCATATCTCCAAAAGTTGGAGCTCCTATAAAAGAAAATCCTTAACATATAGAAAGCTATTAAATTACCTGGTAGGGTTGCTGTAGCCATGACCTAGTTGAGAAGGCGAATGAGTAGGTGAATTATACAAATACGAATGAGAAGGCAAATGAATAGGTGAATTATATGAATAAAAATGAGAAGGCGAATGAGTAAGTGAATTATACAAATACAAAAGTGTAGGAGAATCAGTAGGTGAATTATACGAATACAAATGAGGAGGCAAATGTGTAGGTGAATTATACGAATATGAATCAGAAGGCAAATGAGTATGTGAATTATATGAATACAAATGTCTAGGTGAATTATACGAATACAAATCAGTAGGTGAATTATACGAATACAAAAGAGTAGGAGAATGAGTATGTGAATTATACAAATATGAATGAGGAGGCAAATGAGTAGGTGCGGAATTATACAAATTCAGACCACTATATGGATTGTACAGGGTCCAGACGTAACACTGCAAGTAAGAAAAGTTAAAGGGGATTCTAAAGGAAATCATTGGGCACACCTGATCTCTTGCAAATACGCTTGTAAAACCTAATAGCCAGAGGAACCAGATCCATACCGCCATTTATCAGCCACTAGCCATGAGGTAGAGATAATAATGAAAAATAATCGATTTAAATGAATTTGGTGCGCGGCAGTATGCGGGTGGGCAGTGGGAATCTATGAATTTAATTGGAGTGGCCTATTTGACAAAAGGTACCATTTGGCGCATTATTAAATTTATCAGTATGGTGATAATAAGTCAACTTGCGTTGTTGGTCAAAAAGTAGCTTTTTGCACAAACTAATTATAGAGACAATAAGCTATCATTTGATGCCAAAGATGCCACTATACTCCATGTAGTTCCTGAGAAAGAAGGTACTAGACCCTCTAGCCATTACTGTGCACGGAGCGCGTCACACGGCCCATGAAACGGAGGTAAACGGGGCGTCATGGCGACAATCGGTATCTTAGCAACTTACCATGGTTACAAGCAAATATTGAAAGCGGGTACTGTTTCTTGATGGAAGAAGCAAGGCAAATTGCTCTCTTGTTGAATGAGGAGGAAGGTCATAGGTCAAGCATCACAAGCGGAGTGCTGCTTGAGATGCTCCATGTCTATTTTGACGACAAGGAGTCAGGTAAAAAAATTGCATAACCTATGAATTACATTAACCACACAATGCATACTTACATACTTAACACCTACTTAGTATTACAATCCATACTACTTACCTAAAATAACATTGTTAATTACGATAATAATACAACAATGACAGTAATATTCTAGCATTAAACATTAAACTTTATTATTATAAAAAAAGTAATAGACAAAGTGATGGAAGATGATAGCAGCAGTGATAATGAGGACATTGATGATGGTGGTGAGCTACAAATTAATGGAGAGCTTGAGATAAGTGGTTTGACTGTTATGTGTGATGACTTACGAGGAGACATGGAGATGGGAGTGGTCTTGAGGAGCCTGAAGACATGGAGACCGCAGGAGTGAGAGTGATTGAAGAACCAGTACTGGTACCTGTACAGGTTGAGAGAGAGGTGGACATAAGGGAGGAGAGGAAAGTGAAAGACTTCCTTCAGGCTGGTTGTGGTAGCTCTGACAGCTAATGGAAAAAGTTTGAACCATCTTACTTGAGAGCAACCACAACCAACTGGTTGGTGCTGTCTTCCCATGAGTTAGATATGGTTCTGATGGGACAGATAATGGCTGGAAGCCTTGAACTCACTGTGGTGAGAGTACCAGCAACAACAATAAAAAAAATCATTAGAGAGAGACAGAGGAACTTCACTACATTCACTCATGGAGGAAAGGTCAGTCACTTTCTTAAAATAAAATAAAAAGAAATGGTACTGTACAGGTGTGTAAAACACTTTCATGTTTATTCATGGCATTGGGGAGAAGAGACTGAGGAATGTCAGGAAGTCGTTTTTAGAGAATGGGTTGACCTCTAGGTATGCCTCACTTTCATAGTTGCTAAATTGATACTTATTTTAGAGTACATGGGAAGACTGGGAAAATGCCCAGGCATGCACTTTCTGCTCACAATAAGAAAGAGATTGTCAAGTTCATAAGAAATATGCAGAGGTGCATGCTATAATGCTACCTGGGCGTATTCCTGGTTTTAAGGACTATGCTAAGACACATTTACTGCCATCAAGTACAACAAGGATGGGGGTGTACAAGGAGTATGTGAGAGCAGTAACAGGAGAGGTTTCTACTTACAATTGTTTTCTTTCATGTTGGAGAAAGCATGTGCCTGACATTCGTGTCATAAAGGCCATGTCGGACCTATGTTGGATTTGCCAACACAACAGTGCAGCCATCATGAGGAGTACTAACCTACCAATAGAGAGACAGACTGCTGTAAGGACATGCAATATGAATAATTTCATGTAACAATAACAATAATTATTAGGCTTTACAAGAGGCAACTCAACACATTGATCTAGTGAGGAAAGAGAGAGAGTACTACAGGTCCATACTAAATGAAGCTGCCACTCTTCTAGAGGGACTTTTTACTGACCCAGTCACAGGACTTTATAGTCCACCATTGAGCACACCATTGGCAGAGATGGACATCATGGCTCACTACAGTTTTGACTACGCTCAGCAGGTAACATTTAACATACTGCATGTACATTGTGTATCCTTATCACTTATCTTTAGGTCCACTTTCCATCAAATCCACTACAACCAGGCCCAATATACTTCTCACTCCACGTAAGTGTGGTATATTAGGAGTCTGCTGCGAGGCGATTCCACAGCAAGTCAACTTTCTTGTTGATGAAGCATTCTTGATTGGAAAGGGAGCCAATGCTGAAATAAGTATGCTCCATTACTACCTGGAGCATCATGGTGTCCACTCTGCCATTGTTCACTTCAATGCGGACAACTGTGCTGGGCAGAATAAGAACTATCCCATGATTTGGGTAAATAAAACAACAAACATTAGAATGCAAACAATACAGGCAAAAATTACTCACATACCTGTTCTTTTATTTTTTAGTATCTGTTATGGAGAGTGCTCACTGGACTAAACAAGAGAATCAGCCTGTCCTTATTGCCAGCCGGCCATACCAAGTTCTCCCCAGACTGGTGCTTTGGTCTGTTGTAGCAGAGGTTCAGGAGGAGTATGGTGGGATCACTGCATGACTTGGTGGAGGTGGTAGAGAGGTCCGCAAGTGTCAACAAAGCACAGGTTGTTGGCACACTGAAGGGTTAATGTATCGTGAAGTCATATGATGGCACTGGACACCTGGCACCTTTCTTTAAGAAGATTAAGGCCATTAAGACATTCCATCATTTTGTGATGGATTGTCATGTTGAATATTGTATTATAAACTTAAAAGAGAGATAGAGAGAAGGGGAGAAACAAAAAGAACAGGAACACACTAGGAAAAGATACTAGGGAACAAATCCAAAAACATCACTATATATACTAGTCTGTGGTTAACTATGTAAA